AATAATAATAATAATATAATATGAATAACGCTGAATAACAGTTTTCCAAACATTTATTCATTGTAAATACATTATTTGTTTGTGCCTTATCACTTTTTGAAAAATTAAGGTTTAAATAAAATCGAGTAGAAGGCAATCTCGACCATTGTGGTTATTATCTCTTAATGTACTTAACAATGCATCCATAATTTTTGGGTTTATAGCATGGCAGAAACGAAATATTTGATCTTAAAAGAATTCATTAACAATGAAAAGAGAGAAATTAATTATTAAGGGGATCGATCGACCTTTGCAAATTGGATTACAATGATAAGAAACAAATTCGAAATTGTTCCGGTGTACTCAAACGAAACCGCAGAAGAGCTTCGAGTTGATACTACGAATAACTTAAATTCGAATCGTGTTGGATCGTTTTTATAAATTCATTTTTCTATTTATTTAACGATCCTTCTTATCGCGAGATAGTTATTGATATATCTACTTAATAATAATAATAATAATAATAATAATAATAATAATAATAATAATAATAATAATAATCATTATAGTAATAATAGTAATAATAATTCTACAACGAAATTCGTTAAACTAAAATCCCTCTGTAACGTTTCATTGAACTTCAATAGAAGACTTACATCTTTTATTTTTCCTAAACGTAGATATTACGTAACACGCGAGATTATCAATTTCCATTGTTAAAAACTGAAAATTTTGATATGATAGGAAAGCTTTCCATTGAAATCCGGCATTGTTTTCTTTTTTTTACAAGACCACGCAAAATACGTAGTAGGAAACACAAACGTTCGTAGACGTTCGCGATCATGATTAAAATTTATGTAATGTATATTCCTGTCTATGCATAGATTTATCTTCATTTTTCTTTATTATTCCATATTCTCTTTACTCCATTGCAATTTAAGGCATACTTCCAAAAACGCGATTACGATCATAAAAGGTGCACTGATTTTATTTTTTAATGCATAACGCAGCGAAGTCCGATAAAACTTATTCCATCAATGGGAGAAGTATCAGCATTCACGGTTTTTTTTTATTTTGTTTTGTTTCTTCATCTCTCCCTCTCCCTCTCCCTCTCTCTCTCTCTCTCTCTGTATTTTTTCCGTTTTCCTTTGCGATCTGTAATCTCGTTCTTTAATTAATTAATTGTTGCTCCCGCGGAGAAGTTCCTAGAAGATCGGTGTAGCGCGTTACATTTCATTTACTTTCGTATTCTAAATATGATATTTTTCAATGAACAAAATAAAACGTGTTAGCGTGCATAGTTCCGCACAAAAAGAGAGAAGAATTCCGTGGTAACTGGTATTTCCTTTTCTTCGTCTCTCTTTATCGTTAACATTTAATACGATTAATGTTATATATCATCATGTGATATATACACAAATATAAATATATTTTTTTTTGTTCTTTTTTGTTCTGCCTTTTTTTTTCTTTTTTTTCTGTTTTTTCTTTTGTTATTTTTTTTTTTTTTTTTTTTATTTTTTTTTTTTTTTTTTATTTTTTTATATACGCATACGTTTTTATACGAACGTACATAGTTATTATATTTATATTTATGTACGCGAACATTAAATTGATTATTTCTAGGAACTTCTCGTGCCACGCATGTATTGCTTTCACGAATTTGACATACTTCATTGTGCCTACTCTCTCCGCACTTTTCTTTACCGATTGAAACTCTTTATATATGTATATTGTTTCTGCTTATATTTATGGTCCCTACAAAAAATACATTACATCTATAAGCAGTTTACATTGTGACGATAATACATACATATGATGTATATATACATATACACATACATACATGCATGATATACATACATATATATATATTTATATATACATTATAACATAACATTTTTAGATTTAAATTTTATTACTATAGTAAATCCTATCTAATACTTGATCGTATTTATTTTTCTTTCGCTATTTTATAGTTTTAATCCAGATTACTGCCGCGCTTGGGAATGTTACGTACACACTACGGTCTCTTGACAAGAAAATTCAAGACTAAAATCATAATTGTAGTAATTAAATATATAACAATATAATAGCGATAAGAGTAATCGTAATAGTAGTAGTAATAGTAATAGTAATAGTAGTAGTAGTAGTAGTAGTAGTAGTAGTAGTAATAGTAGTAGTAGTAGTACTAATTTTAGCGAGTAGTATCGGTATTAATAGTTATCGCAGTTTATCTGTCGATAGCATGGGTGTATATTGACGTTAACAGGATATTAATTAAAAGAGAATTATTCAATTAAAACGCTTTGTTAATATCATCGACGAAAAAACATAACAAATTACGTGTCGTCGTGAGAAGAGAGAACAAAGTAAAAAGATAGAGACAATATAGTGGGAGAATAATTAAAAAAATAATCATTCAAAAATAAAATTCTTACAAAAGTACTTAAGTAACGTAAGATTCGTTATACTTATTATTATCGTAGCCGTGCAAGATTCGTTCGATGCATCTTCATTCAGAAATGTAAGAAACGTCGAAGCAACACGATCGCGACTTCGAGCTCGTAAAAATGGCTCGTAATCGCACGGTATTTATATCTATCTCTTTCTCCCTCTCTCTCTCTCTCTTTCTCTAACTATAATTTTATGTACAATTGCAAGTATCCGAAGTGGAGATCCCTTCTCCGTTCCCTTCGGCGTGTAAGTTGAACTGAGTTTGATTTGCCATTTATTTATGTATATGTACTTAGATTTTCTTTCTCTTTTTTTTTCTTTTTCCTCCTCTACCCCTCATCTTCTTCTTCTTCTTCGTCTTCTTCTTCTTCTTCTTCTTCTATTCACAGCACTTCTTTGTTACGATCTACGGGCGTTCGTCAAAGTCTACCGCTCGGAAGAAATTTATATCACAAAGTTATATAGGTGTATATATATATACATACATATATATATATATATATAATATAATATATAATATATATATTATATATAAGTGCATCGCAATAACGTAGTCATTAAAGAGATCATCGCTGTTTCGAAAAAACGATGCGAACGGTCGGCTTTGAGGAATCGTTTTACATCAAACGTGAAAATTGCCTCTAAAATATAGTAGCGTGTATACTACACTTTGAAAAATTGACAGTGACGGACCAAACAGCAAGAGTGATGATACCGTGATAAATACACGTGTGAAAACGCGAACGTAAGTAATTTGCATAAAGTTTACATTTGCGGCAACGTAGGGTTCTTTAAATTTCTTTAATATCATCGAGAGACTACGTTTTTCTATATATAGAAAAGCACGTTAAATCATTTTTCTTTCCTTTTTTTTTTTTTTTTTTTTTCTTTTTTTCTATTTCTATTTCTTTGTTAACAGTTGTTGTCAGACGTAAAATACTATTTCGCGAAAGGATTTACGTCGAGCAGATAAGAAAGTTGAAAATATCGAAAATAAAAACTTAAAATCAATTGATCGTACTTTCTTCATAAGCTAAGGCAAAATTTTTCCTGGCTTCGAGGAGATATATATATTCTTAACACTCGTTTTTTATTATTTTTTTTTTTTTTCCCGTTTCATGTTATATTCTGAATTAAATTAAAAGTGCCCTTACTCTCTATAGAATTTCATTCCTGAGTGAGTTTATATAGTTTCTTTCTAGTTTTTATTTATTTATTTTTTTTTCTTTGTTCTTCCTTCTCCCTCCTCATCATTATCGTCATCGTCATCGTTATCGTCTTCATCTTCATCTTTTATACATCGAAATTGATTCGAGAGGCTTTCAGGTACAAAACTAGTAGCATCCTCGTGACGAGCAAGCTAATTGCATCGAAGCCAAAAACTTATCGGAGACAATAAGGTCCCATAGATTGATATTGAAATCCGATCGATCCTCAATCCATACGTACGGAAAATGATATAGATTTTGGTTGCTTGGAAGCATCTTTCGCATTCTACGAAATATCTTATCGAAAAGAAAAGAAACGAAAAGAAACGAAACGAAAGAAAGAAAGAAAGAAAGAAAGAAAGAAATCGTACGTTCGTTTTCGACGAAAGCCATTTTTCCGCAAGTGATATTACTTTGAGATTCTATAAAATAGATTTACTTAAGAAGCCGAAGAAACAATCATCGGAGATCACGTGCCGCTCTTTTCAAAGCGTGGGATTATGATCGTGTGTATAATATATCTATTAGAAAGGATAAGATAAAACTCTACTACACCATTCAACTGTATCCTATTGATTCAACTATGATTTTCGTCATTTTACTCTTCGCTATTTCTAAATTGACTACTTTTTTTGTGAGAAAGCCTAAAATCTAGTTATAAAATAAATCTCAGCTCTTGATCTGCGGATAATAATGTTTAAATATATAGATCATTAGTTTCGTTAACTTAGTTAATTATATTTAACTTTAAGTTTTGTCTAGTCTTGTAGTTCTTAAGGCAGGATTTTTATATTTACAATTTCGTCTTCGCGTTGGCCTTTTGTTTTACATAGCAGTCGCGATAAAGGCTCGTTTCTTGACAACTTGTACCAAAGACGATGACAAATTCCATCGTTTCTCTGTGTACTTAATCTTTAGCCTTATCTTGTGCTATCGTTTCGTATAATGTATCATTTAGAGTAAAAACAGTATAGATTCAGCCACACAATAACGGTACAGTCTCGAACTGCACTCTTTAAATGAGTCGTACAACCTATCATTAATCTATTTACACATCGCAATGCCATAAAAATGTACACTTACTGATATCATCTTCTTATAATAGCTAAACCATTTCATCGAAATCTGTGACAAATTATTGCGGAAGATAAACAGCACTCTTTTTTCTTCAAATGCAAGAGTTTAATATTTCATAGCTATGTATGCATTTTATGTGAAATATACGAATACATAGAAAACTAATCCGATATATATAAATCTATACATATATATATATATATATATATATATATATATATATATATATATATATACACTTATATTTATATGTACATATATATGTACGTATATATATATATATTTTTCTATCGAGTTCGAGCGCGATTATCACGCTAACAGAAAAATATTGACTGCAAGTTCTTTCTATCCCGTTTATAATAATATCTTCGAAACATATTCACGAGCACCGAAAGTCACATTTATTCATTCATTATTTATCGAGTGCGACAGTCGTATACATAAGTTCTATGACTGTAAAGATTAGTGGGCGCTTCTCAACAATGAACACTTTATATTTACAATGAATTCTCTAATAATTTGTCACAAATTTTTTTATCACCAATTCGATAGATTTATTTTTATAGTTCCTAGTCCGAAATAAACATTAAACATTCTGATCACGACTTTCTGATTTACCAATCGAAGGCTTCGTATCTACTTCCTGTTCACGAGTGGCGAATTGTGTTTGCCTCGTATCTGGTACATCGACATCCATCATCATGTTTTTCAAACGATTCGCCGTTTCATTCGAATCCTGCGTATGATTTGAAGATTCTGTTTCTTCGAGATTCGTCGACTTTGTAGGCTCCGTAGGCGAAGAAACAGAGGATGGCGTTAATCCATCGGAGCTCGGTGAGTTCACATCGCCATCCCCTAAATTATGTTGATGAGGTTTTTCCTCAAATACTATAATAAGGCAAGTACGATTCGATATACGCCGTAAAAAGACGTCATATGCGATTAATAAGATTAACTTGAAAAAATGACTTACATTTGTCGAGACTAATAATTGATCCTACGAATTCATTGACGGTGAAGGAAGGAGCCTGATCCTCCATTTGTCTTCTCCTTCTTACGAGCCACCAATCAACCAGAAACAATGCTAATGCCAAGATTTTTATGCCAGCGCAAAGACCTACATACCTGTGTAATACAACACATATTATATCCACAAGTATTGTAAGGTAAACTTTCAATGATATATATATATATATACACACACACACTCTTACCTATATCTAAACTGTTCGATGTCGTACAAGAGACATCGGCCGCCTTTCTCGCCGCAAGTACTTTTCCACAATAAACACGTTGAATCTATTAAATTACCAAAAAGAATAGGCGCTGGTATATAACCAAACAGTCTGAAGATTACGAATTGCATACCAAGAGCGAATGATCGTTCTTCCTCCGATACAGATCTATAGCGTGATAGAAATAAACAGGTTTAAGGAATTTATGAACCGTTTGTTATATCGATTCGTAACTTACCTTAAAACTATCATCAACAAAGGCATTTGGGTTACAGCCACGATAAACGTCATGAAGAATAGAAGAATCAAAAAGGGAAATATCGTTCTGCAGGGTGAAGTACACGGACCAGCAGTCGCTACCGGTACTACGGTTACTTCCGCGAATTCTGGTGCTGCTGGTGGCAGCATAGTTAAATTACCGTGTATACCTGTGAACGACGATAGTCTCGCATCAATGTAAATCCTGAGATTTTTTTTTTTTTTTTTCCGAAACAATAAATAAGAAAATGTTCCTTTCTATCGACTTACATGCGCAATTCGTAAAATTAGATTTCGAACTGAAGGCTGTACATCCAGCGTGACAAGGACTGAAGTACGTCAGGCCGTTATTTCCACAGACCGGCTCAACGTCGGTCATTCGACATTCACAACCGAAGTTGCATGCGGCAGTGAGATTTACTTGGAAAGGTTCTGGACCTTTCGTGCTGCTGTTAAAGTACGGTATAGTGGTCCCGGCCATTTTCACGTTGTCACAACCCAAGAAAAATAAGAGACCGTAACAAACCAAACATATTATGTTAGAGACAAGAACAAACTGGACCGCGCCTTTAGGCCTCAGTTCTAATCGTTTCAGCAAACATCCACCGAAGAAAATACCAATGCATGCACCCGGTATAGCTATCGAGCCGGTAAATATACTCGCTTGACTCTTCCCAAGACTGAACTGCGTTTCGAGATATTTCGGTAGAAAAACAACGAAGCCCGAGACGATCACCAATTCCATACAAGCACCCAAACAGGTCACCACGTATACGGGATTGCAAACGAGTCTCCACATGCTACGCGGAATATCTATGGAAAATAATCGATTATAAACCATATTTTACCATATATATTTATTATCTTCGTAATAGTCTATTTACCTTTCACATCTTTACCGTATCCAGTATCATCCAGTTTCTCCTTCTTCGGTTCCTTGGATTGCTCTTTCTCCTTCTGAGAAGTGGATTTGTTTTTCTCGATGATTCTTATTTTCTCTTTCTCGTGTTGCAATGTTTTAGGAAAACTAAAGAATGGTATTGCCACCATTATCAGTAGTAAACCGCAGAGTAAGAATCCGCCCCACCACATTCCGACCCACCGATGATCTCCAGGATCTAAATATAATTTGTTGAAACGTTTCGATTCAGATAGAATGCAACCTGAAATAACATTTCACTTACCGATACTAATAATCGTTCCGGAGAAAGAGTCCATGTGGAATGACAGAAGATATGCCCCAAGAAGAAAACCTAATACTGGTCCAAAAGCCGCCATACTGTACATACATCCTAAAAAAATGAATGAAACGGATACAGTACGTAGTCATCTTTTACGAAGGAAGGGATTGCTTAGATTGATAAATCAATTCCCATATGGCGAGGCTGGTTAGTTGAACGCTTACCGATGTACAAAGAAGCACTCTCTGGTCTGACATGATCGTCTATGTAAGTAGTACCGAGAGTAAATAGAGGAGAACCTCCGCAACCTAACAATAACTGAGCGAGCACAAAGAGCATAACAGGGCCAGCATTTGATGGAGATCCTTGTATACAATTGTCGCCTCTCAAATTGTTGTGCGGCGACGATAAACCCGATGACAAACGTCCTGTTAATAATAAAATTCGAATTTTTCTATTTTTGTTGAATCCTTCCCTCCCCCCCCCGTCCTATTAACTTACCGAGTCCCATGTCTTGTTCGCGCAACGAAACGCCACGGCAAATGTTATCCGAGCTCGAATTGTTCGAAGTCGTCGTTAAATTAGGCTCGGCGGTAAAATGCGGTACCATAAAGATCATCGATCCCAGTCCCATGATAACAGCACCTAAATTCGTTAATGTTATTGTAGAGACATTGATATGACATAACGGATTAAATTAACTAGAGCGAACGTAGTTATCGTTAAGACATTTACCAATGGCTATCCAAACAGGAATATGTCTGCGACTACCGAGATAGCTCACAAAGATGACAGTAATGACGTTGCCTATTTCGTACGAGCTGGCAATGAGGCCCGAGAGGCTGGACGGGATTTCAAACCTTTTTTCAATAGTTGTGATCACAGAATTGATATAACCAGAACTAAGTGCTTGTTGTAGAGTTACAAGGAATGAAAGGAGGAATACGAACACCTGTAATCGTACAACCATTCAAAATCAAATCAAATATATGCATATATATATATATATATTTTTTTTTTTTTTATTTCGTTGTTTACAACAATACCCATATGTATATATGTATATACGTATTTGTCGAAGAAAAATTTTCAACGTCGAAAACTTTGCTCTTTAGTAACTCGTCGCAACGTCTAGTAATATAAAAAGATTTTAATTCCGTAAGAGACGATGACTCACGACAAACTTGTGATGTACATCCACGTAGACCCGTTAAAAGAGACGAATTAACGAGTAACGGGTTGTGACTTAAAATAAGTCACGCCTAAACGATGATTCGTTCATGGAACGAATTACGATTACCAACCTTTATACCGGCGAATCTTTGAATGAAGGCCGGCCTACAGCTTAGAATTCCGCAGTCCTTCGAGTCTGGATTGAACGGTGGCGTCTGAGCCCTTTCTTTTTCGGTCCTACAAAGAAAAACAGTGGAGAAGAAGAAAAAAAAAAAAACAAAAAGAATAAAATCTCAAATCGGTTAGTAATTCTTTTCTCTCTTTACCTGTCCACCATGGAAGCACTGGGATTCCTGCTGTGACATTTGATGATAAAGTCTCTGAAAAAATATTTGAACGATCATGATCTCCATAAATCTATAAAGTTTCAATATATATGAACTTAAAGATGATAGTTTATATCAAAGCATGAAGAATTAATATTAAGTTTTAAGATAGTTTATATTACGCTCAAGTAATATCGATCGTTAACGATTATAACACATCATACCGTCTATACATGCATATCAATGTATATTTTTTAAAGTTCGTGCGTCATATCGTAAAGACAATGACGTAAATTCTTAGAATATGAAAGAACATTTAATAGATAAGAATTCTTTATAAAAAAGAAAAAAAGAAAAAGAAGAAGACGTTGAAAGATACTTTTGGAGGATATCGGAATACGACCATTAACCTGATTTCCATCTAAGGAACTATTCTTTCGAATCGACCGAAAGGATTGGCGAAAGTATGCTTGGAACAATTAGATAAAAAATATTCTCCGCAAATCTATTCCGTACGCATATATACGTATGTATGTACACACATACAAAAACACATGGCGAATACGTGTCAGGGTCGGCATCGTTTTACCGAGCAACACAAACGTAATGCCCGATGGTATTGCCGTTATTGCTCCTATAGTTGTCTTACTTTCTACGATCCGGAAAGTCTTACGTCGCGATTCCGTCCCGTGCAAACATTTCGAAACGCTTTCGCAATGCTCTTACTTCGACGCCGCGTCATCGTCTCTCTCTCTTTCTTTCTTTTTTTTTTTTTTCCTTTTCTTTAGTCTTTATCCTTTCTATCTTTCTTTCGTTAGCCCACCGGAAAAGACTTTCTCGCATCACTGTTGTGACGCGAGTCCTCGATTACGCGTTCACGTTTACTCCTCTCATTTTTCATTTCGATCGAATTCACAGAATCTCTTTAATGGGAATTATTCAGTATCCATTTTCTCTCGATAAGAGAAATTTTTTTACGTAGAAAAAAATTACGTATGATTTTGAAACAGACACCACGCGCAATTAATAAATAAAATAAAATATCTTTCGATAGGGGTTTTTTTTCTTTTTATTTTCTCTCTTTCTTATCTACGAGAACTCTCAGAGTTTTGTAATCCACTTATATCAATTATAAATCGTTAATCACAGTATTAGTCATGACCCTTCGTGTTACGCTGTGGTTTAACATTTTGAATGAATACTGACGACAATGATATATGTATGTATGAACGATTAAACATTGTGGTTTTACGCGTGAGTTGCTTGCGTAACGATCGCGTATTTACATGAACAAAAACAAATATAAAAGAGAGAAAGAGAGAGAGAGAGAGAGAGAGAGAGAGAGAGAGAGAGAGAGAAAGAAAAAATTGCACGCTCATATATGTAAACTCCTACGATTAACACGATATATTGTTGACGAAGTTTCTGACGTTTTATCACGAGAACGTGCTCGTATAAAATAGTGGAATTTTCTTCTAGCTTTAACATACTTGTATTTTAACAATTAATTTCTCTCATTCTTTCTTTTTCGTGAATCATTTAATGCGATTTTCTTTTCCTCTTTTCTTTTTCTTTTTTTTTTTTTCTTTTCTTTTAAATACATTGTTAATCAATAAAGAGGATCGTTATGGGTTGCGTGATACGATACATGAATAAAATAAAAATCAATTTGATGTACTCACCTATGATCCACAAGGCCGGAACTTGGATTTCTACTGTGACATCTTATTACGGTATCATGAGTCAGTCTGCTACCGCTTGGTTGCAAAGGATCCGCGTTTTCATCGGTTCCCGTGCCAGCACTTTCAGCGTACAGTCCTGTCATGGCATACATGCTCTCGTTCCTTCGATGTCCCGCGTGATAATTGCTACCGGACTCGGACCTGAAGGATATTTTTGCACTACGTTAATTGAAAATTAGCTTAACGATAACGATATTCTCGTGATGTCACGATAATGGACGTAATAACGTTATTGCCCGAACTTATCGACGATCTATTTACGTAATAATTTTTATTTTAAGAGAAAAACTAAAGGAAAGGAAAAAAAAGAAAAGGAAAAAGAAGATGCTTGAAAATTTACTAGACCTTCGTTGGTATCGATTACCTTGCGGAAACTAAAGAAAGGTGAATAGTCTATGGACAGGACACCCTTTCTCGTTGGAATAGACTTGTCTGGTAAGACTTTAACCATGTTTCACATGGATCTCATGCAAGACTCCCCTCGACCAAAGGATCGTATTACCTCTGCCAGGGTAATAAGAGTATCCTAGTCTTCCAACAACGACGAAACTTTTTCTACGAGAAAATACGTATCCAGTTGACGATTTTCTAAACTCGCTATGAAACATCGTCACGTGCTTTCGTTTCTATTTCTTTTTTCTTATTTCTCTCATAAAGAATTGCATCGCGTGAAAAAAGAAGATGAAGAAGAAGAAATAGAAGTAGAAGAAGAAGAAGAAGAAGAAAAAGAAAACGTGATCACATAACCGAACGGAGGACGTAAGAGTAAAACGTTTTCTCATATGACTTTAAAATGCTCATTTCCTTTTTCTCAAAGTCGTTACATAAATCATAGAACAAATTCTAAGACGAATAGAACTCTAACCGGGAATGGACGATGACCTAAAAAAAAAGACATATGACCTAGGACGTACTCGGACGTCGGATCTTTGCTCCGACGAATATTCCAATCGAATGTAATTAAGCGGTGCCTTATTTGGATTAGCTTTATACGAACGAGCGTTGAGAGTACGATATGATATTTATTTGCTAACAGGATATATATATATATATATATATATATATATATACATAACAGGATATATATATATATAGAAGATACTTTTTTCGTTTTATTTTTTTCCTTGGTATCGTTTTTTCAAATGTGAGTGTCCGACTCAGCGAAATATTTGCGACGAATAAATTAATTTCTTTTGGTCGATGTATTAAAAAAAAAAAAGAAAAAAAAAAAAGTAATAATAATAATAATAATAATAACAACAATAATAATACAAAAAAACAATGAAGAAGAAGAAGAGAAAAAAGAGATCAATTACTCTTTGGCACGAATGATTTAATGCTCAAAAAGCTTTACCGTTTATCGGAACGAAGTAATTTCGTATGTCAACCTTTTTACGATTCGTTTATTCGTAGATTCGTTAAAGCGAAATGCAACGACATCGATCGATCGGATTAATGTTCGCACGGGCAAATTTGCAAAAAGTATTGTGCGTTTATTCGTTCGAATCGATTAAAAATAGCCGAGCAGTGGTGTATAAAAAAATGGCCTTACTAATAGTGGTAGTAGTAAAAGTAGTAGTTTTTTTCTATGGTTGCGCGCTCCAGGTATTCGTTAGAGATCTCTTTCGATTATTCAAAATCACTTGGGCACGCCCCCCTGGGGGGAGAGTAAAAGAGGGGAGAGACACGGCGTGTTCTCGTAAGGTTCTACAAATCTACGTCAAAAGGACTTTTTCCTTTTTTATTTTTTTTACCGTTTTTATTTCTCTAATCGCCTATGGATTAAAAATAAAGGATTCATAGAATGTGTATATATATATATATACATATATATAATCACCTTTTATGACCAAAACCACCACCACTCTCGTTCCTTTTGTGGCCACTCTCGGAACGTTTGTGGCCAAAGGCACTGGATATGCTTTCGGCCCGTTTGTGACCGCTTTCGGATCGTTTGTGACCGATGAAGCCACCTCCGGATTCGGTTCGCTTGTGAGCGAACATGCTCGAACTTGAACCGTTCCTCTTGTGTCCACTGGTGGATGCCATTTTTTGTATCATCTATCGCCACTTTCCCCGACCACTTCCTTTTCCTCTTCCCTTATTCCTTTAAGTCGGTCCGACTATTACGAGTTCAACTGCATAGTGCTCTGGTGGTGCCTCTGACCT